CAGATAGTTGAACGATATTTTGTACAATGTCTATACCCAGGTATGGATTTATTTTTGTCCAAGTTTTATATTGGTCCACTATTTCAAATGCAGTTCAAACAGACATGTATTAAATTGTATGTTCCGTTTTAATTTGGTTCAATCTGTATATATATATATATATATATATATATATATATATATATATATATATATATATATATATATATATATATATATTGGAATAATGGTAGATATACAAGAAATTAGCATAGTAATATTATGATGTTTAATTAATAAAACTTACTTAAATAGTGGTTAAAAAATAATTTATAAGTTATATACTAGCGAATATTATTAAAAAGTAATTATATGAGGGTATTTTTAAGAATTTAGCATAATAATAAATGTTAAAGGTTTTTTTTTAATTATAAACATATTTAATTGAGCCATGTGCATAGGCAACCAAATATACACTGTGTTATTTGACATTTGTTTGGTTGCGGATGAAAAATTAACTGCGGGGTTAACTATTAGTTTGGGATTTTAATTTAAATATAATTACGGATGTAAAACAGTAGTATATTAGTGTAAGACATTTAGTTTATATATATATATATATATATATATATATATATATATATATATATATATATATATATATATATATATATATATACAGTGTAGGTAAAATTTTATGGTCGGTATGGTAAAACTTAACAGGATGTCTAACACAGATATAAAATCATATTTTCAGCGAATAGACAAAGATAACAATCATGTTCCCCCTTGGTCTCCCCTCCATAAATCTTCTTGACGCCCATTTTGCCTGTTAGTGAGATGGTTAGTTCCGATCAGAGATATTTTACATATTCTGTGGTTTCGATCCTCATATAGCTAAGAAACTAGAGGTGGGTCCTTTAGTTTTTTAAATTTTTATCGGAACCGTTTTTCGTAAACTGTAACTAGTTGATTGTTTACCAGTATTCAAATTAGCGAGTACACAAACATATTGGCTATTATCGTTTATGTGTATAAGTATTAAAGGGAAAGAAACTAACGAAGAATATATTTATTATAACTTGAAAAATAAATTAAACAATACAAATAGTACTTACATTTACATGGACTTAAGTCATCTTTATCAGTTTCTTTTTCTTCTACTAGTTAATTTTCAATAGTATAATCTTCTTTTTCTTTTTTTTTTATAGAAGTAACCAGCTTCAACCATTAACTAGTTGATTTTAACGAATTTAACCGAAAATTTAGAGTTTAACACGGTTTAATTAGACTGCTGCCATTTTTCTGGAAACCATAATTCAGAAAACATCGCTTTTAAAATTAGTGAAATTATTATTCAGTGGGGTCTAAAACAAAAAGTAAATTTTGCAGTAACTGATAATGCCTCAACTATGGTCATAGCTATTAAATATGTTTTGGAATGAAAACATTTAAATTGTTTTGCTCATACGTTAAATTTATTGATTGAGGACGCACTTAAATGCTCTCGTGTACAAATAGATAAAATAAAAAGTCTTTTTTTTCGACAATTCGGCAAAAAACACATTTCAAAAAAGTACCTTATCTTCAGAAACGCTTTTAAAGTATCAATTACAACATAACAAAGATCCCAAACGGCCAATCCAAGACGTGGAAACTAGGTAAAACTTCACCTATTACATGTGAGAAAGAATGACGGAGTTAGAAGAGGCAATCCGTTTCACATTGGTATCAGTTAATACAGACTTAGACTTAGACCAAATCTAAATAATGAAGACTGGATTATTTTTTCGTAATTGTCCTAAATTTTACGGCCTTTTAAAGAAATAACAAGTACAATGAGTGGCCAAAAATACTTGAATGATAGTTCAGTGATTTTTCTAGTACGCTGCCTGCAAAAATCTTGCAATAAAATTTTAGCAAACAGTAACCTTACATCCATAGTTAGTATCCGACGTAGTACGGGTTTTTATTACTAATTACGGGATAATTACTAATCTCGGGTTTAGCAAAAAGATTTAGAGGGATAGAATACAGTGGCATATTGTCATTATGTACGTTTATGGATTCACGATTTAAAGTGCAGGGATTTTCTGATAAAAATGACGCTAAAAAACAAAAGAAAGAGTTAAGAAGCTGGTTACTTCTATAATTAAAGAACAAGAAGATTGTACTATTGAAAATCAACCAGTATAAGAAAAAGAAACCGATAAAGATGACTTAAGTCCATGGTGTATTTTTGATCAATTAATTGGACATGACTCATCTAAACGTACACCTGTAGCGAGAGTCCATTACAATGGTGAAAAAACCATCGCCATGTATCTCCTAACTTAACCACTATATTCATAAAGTATTGTAAATGTGAACACATGTTCAAAATCAGGTTTAATTTTAAATAAAAGAAAAACACAATTAATAAGAAGTAAAGTAAAAAAACTTATGTTTTTAAATGTCAATTTAGACGATTCGTGATTTAATAATAACGTGTAATGTAAACGTAGGTACGATTTACTATTTG